AAATCAACCAATGGACGGACAACAGATTGTTTGCCTTGCAGAAGCATTTGATTCCTCGAGTGCGTTCCATTTTGGAATCTACTAGTTTGGCGCGTCCGCGCACGAATGGCCCGAAACCGGCCACCAAACACGCAATTTTGCAACATCTTCGGATTACGCATCCGCATCATTGTTGGAGTTATGCTTGTCGCAATCTCACGGCCTGGTCTGACTGCTGCGGGGTCAGACTGAAACTCGCTGACCACCGTGACAAACTTTTAGTCTTAGCCCGACAACCTTGCCCGCGCTCCTCAATCGACCTCATTCCCATGGGAGTTCACTTCGCTCATGATTTCCGGTTCGTTGGTTTTCGACAGGGTTGGCGGTGTCGTTGCGGTTTACATCTTAAAGTGCACTCGCGGAATGAGGCTTGGACTAGAGCGGCTAGGGGCTGTAAAGCTCACTTTTAACCTGTAGACTAAACCTGGCTTTGCCGTGTTGCATCTCAAAAAAAAAAAAAAAAAGCAAAACAGATCCTAGCCTTGAGAATGAACAATTCGAAGCTCGCACCTATCAAAGTCTCGGAGGGAATGCAAGACTTTGGGAACGTTGACCCACGACTGCGTTAATCATTTTGCTGGCGAAGAAGGCTTGCAAGCCTCAGGACTACGAGGCTTCTCGGATCTACATGGGATAGAGGACATCCTGCCGCACCTTCGCAGCCCAAAATACTTACAAGAGCTTGGGGGATGCAAGCTTTGCCCGCAATATTAATTGATGCGTTGGTGGATTTGGGAAACTTCAATTTCCTCGAATTTCTTCCGTTCCATGGTATTGCAGAAGATCTGCACCCACAGTCTTCAGCTCAATTTGTGAGCCTCTAATACAGAGTATGGAGGTTCCTTAGATGTGCCTGAACTCAGTATTTAAAAACCGGAAATGCCCGTGTACGTCTTCATCTAGAATACCTGACCAACCGGGTTTGGTTCGGGAGTTCAGCCAACCCTACATCACGACCCCAAAACGTCCACCCGAAATTCTCTGACCTTCAACCCATGCCCAGGACACGCCAAGCCTGCACTGAAATTGGACCCTGAATCCTACAACACTCTGCTTTTGTCGGGCCTCTCGGTGGATCTCATGCGGCCCAAAGACGCCTGCATAGGGATTCAGACTTGCACTGCCTGAAGGGTCCGGCGGACGTAGAACCAGCCCAGTATTTAGTGAACTGGAATTCCAAGCCCGCTGGATTGAAGACCCAACGTGCCAGGCTCAGGGGTGTAGATTCTAAATTCCTGTTTCCGAAGGATCTAAATAATTTAGGACCCCCAGAAAACGCGACCTAATAACCCCTCATTTTCTCGTTGCTAATCATCAATCTTTCCTATACCGGCGACAATCAGCGCAAAGGACACTGCCGAATGGTAATAACCTAAGCATGCGGACGGGAACCAGAATGCAACAGATGACTAATGAAAGACCAGGTCTCATTCTTGCTTGGAGTGGCCCCGCACGCCAAACCAAGGACGCTACACTAGAAATCGTAAGCCACTCGCACCTAGCTCCGAAACGGCATAGGCCTGCCCGAAAGAGAGGTTCCGAGTTGTGAAAGATGTCTCCAGCGCTAGGGTGCGTTGAGTGCATTGGGGGCGGCGAGCAAGAGGGTTTTGACGGTCTTTGGCATAAAAGGTTCAGGTTATCAGTGGATATGTAGTCAGAAGCATGGTTATACTCGGGAGAGATAAGATCATCTGACCAGGCCGCTGTAAGTACGTGGGTTTGGAAAAACAACTCAAATTTGGCCGTCTTTCACAGCATGGCACCGAGGTCAGGAGAACATGTTAATCTTCATAGGCCACTGCGCAAGACATCCCTAACCTGAGGCGCTCTACAGCTTGAAGAAAGGAAGCCTGCTTGTGCAGGATGTCTGCAAAGCGTGGGCAAAGCGTGTCCTTGCAATAAGCATCTGGCCTAGGGTGGGGTGTACTGAAGACCTACACCGCCGTTACACCACGTTGCAATACCCAGCTTGACCTCAGGGCCGTGTGATCCAAGCTATCCCTAAAGCTAGACCGACCGCCAGATCAACCCTGTTGGCGAAGAATCCTAGGATTTGTGAGATTGATTCAAAGTTCATGTCCACATCAGCCTGAGCAACCTTGGAGCCCACCTTCAGTCGCTGCATCAGTCCTCCTGCCCACAACTCTCAACAGTATGTGACCTCTACATACCATGAACTTGTGAACTGAACTTTTTCCTGAAACCCCTCTAAACGTCCCTTCCTTGAGAACCCTTCTTCGGCCTCAAGGGAACCAGAATTAAGACCAAAAAGCACATCCTCGACAAACAGATCCAATCCACAGGCGCAGGGATAGTTTTGGTTTTTCCACTGTTGTAGTGGCAAAGACAAAGACACTAGAACCTAATGAACTAGATGGAGTTTTTTCAGAATCGGGAATCCATAAGGACTCCAAGGATACATGGGGGTTGCGGACGGATCATGCGGACTGTTTTGGAGATGTTCCCAGATATTTCTCAGGCATTAGGAAGGATTTGTTCCTGCAAGTCGGAAGGGTGCTGGCCTGCGCCGCCTGCCCCAAGGCTTCCCAGGGAACCTGACAGATTTAGCTTTTGGAGCTTTGAAACCTTGAGGGTTTGGGGCTTGGGAGCTTAAAGATAAAGGTGTCGCGCTTCATTCATACATAAACTTGCAAGACGTGAAGTTATGTTTTTGCTACAAGCAACGACATTGTAAGTATCCCTTATGGTCCTGCTCCTTCTGTTCCCCCGCTCAGGATTACTAAGAGCTCTCAAGCAGTTTCCTAACATCGGGAATACTGTCATTCTCACTGCTGCTCTTGTCACTCATGGCGCTATCGGTCTCTCATCTTGCCAAGGCTGGAGCCCCGTTTTTCTTCATCAAATAGTATTGAAAGTGGAACCCAAAACAGGGCTTACAACTCAAAGACACACGATCAGAGGCAAGATTGCCTTGATCGAGTGCTACGACTTCTTTCTTCTCATACAACAATCTCGGAGCCAGCTTAAGCAATCGCTAAGATTGTCCCTAACCCGAACCTTACAACCCAAGGACTGCTGGCTCTTTTTGTTCCTCCTTTACTGTCATCCTGGCGTCCTTCCTACCATCTTAAAAACACAATGACCGGAATCCTCACGAATTTACGTTGACCGTCACTGCTACAGTGCTGACAAAGCACCGCTTCTGCAATGTAGGCCACAAGTCGGTCGAGGGCTCGTTTGAGCCCAGGGCCTGTGTTCTCATGATGTGGAGGACCGGGTCTATTGCGCAGAGCTTTCCCCTAGGCCAATGACTGAAAAACAAGAGACATCGCTCTAAGCGTCCGCACCTTGTTTAATCTTCGGGAGATCAAAAAATAGCAGTTACCTAATTCACAGAACCGTACAGAACAAGCATTCCACACACAGCATATGCAGGTCTTCTTCTTGCCGTAGTTTGTTGCTTCCGGGGGTGTCACAACAAACTTGAACAAATGCTCGACCGCCAGGACCACAGGAGTCGCGTTGCCCATGGAAAAACGAAGTAGAGCTGACCTGCCACCCTTTCGTTTTGCACATTACGGGAACACAAACATTCTCAAAATTACGGGGCATCCAGTCCCCAGAAAATATCATCATTACTTCACGTTCGGGCATTCCTTTTGCTGCTACTTTTCAAGGGAGGAGTAAGTAATAGCACATACGGCAACCTTGGGATTTGCAATGATGATTTCATCTATGACACTGTGACATTGTGATTATCTGCGAGAACATCATTTGAAGTTTTAAAAGAGCATCTTAGCTTTAGACTTTAGGCTGGTGGCCTGCAAACATCCGTCAAGTGCTGCCAACTTTCAAGGGTCAAACTTGAACATGTCTTCACAATCTATTCCAGGTACTCTTCTTGTGCCAAAACACAACAATTCACTGTGCATAGCAGCTAGACAGCCCATTTGTAGCCTATAGCGTAACCTAGATAGGAAAGCACTTAGAACAGAGCTTCGCACTGGGAAAGCGGAATTTCCCCGGCGACCCAACATGCAGAAAAGCATGTCCGAGACACCGAACGAAGATATGAACCTGGTAGGAGTCCACGAACCCGAATGCAGACACGAAACAAGTAATTCCCACAGATTAAAGCAGTCAAACACGACACGGTACGCGGAACCGACGACGAAGACATCACTCTCTCGCTCCACTCTCCACTCCCCACTCCATCCACTTTCTTCTTTCTATTCTTTGCTCCTTTCCACGCTGCACCTTCCACACTCCGCTCTACCCTCACTCTCCGCACACCCCACTCTCAATTCTCCACACTCCACGCCACTCTCAACTCCACTCTCCAGTATCCATTCTCCACACTCCCCTCTCCTCTCCACTTTCAACCACTTTCCTCTGCACTCTCCACACTGCACCACACCACATGTTCTACTCCACTTTCCTCGTCACTCCAGTCTCCATTCTCCGCACTCCACTCTCCACACACTCCACACACTTGAAACCCTCCACTCTCCGTTCGCCACACTGCACTCCACTCTCCAACCCCCTTCCACTCCACTTTCTACTGCTGGCCACTCTCGACTCCACTCTCCATTCCACTGTCTGTCCACTCTGGACACGAGGGTCCAACTGCGCACAGTTACGGCGACCCCCATGGGCCCCATCCCTGTGATTGTTGACTCTTGTGACATATGACAAAGACACGAGGGGTCCGAAAGCAACGACACTGATGAAGATGGCGACCCTGAGGGTCTCCACCAAGTGACTGTTGATGCTTAAGCTTGCAGGCTAGATGCATACATTGGACACTCTTTTTGTCCACATCTCGTGAGTGTCCTTCTGTAGTATGGAGCTCCCACGTTGGGAGAGGTCAAGCCATACGTGCAACACACTCGTGAGGCCTTTCTTCAAAAGGCTCACAACCTGAGTTTAATCCCTTCCCCATTTGCATGGCCCTTGGGTGGTAGTGGGAGGGTATTTAAAGTCAGCACAGGAACAAGCACTCAGACGTTTCCGAAGAAGCCTGAAAGAAGCGCCTCTGCAAAGCGTCGAGGGTAGACCTGTGCTTGCTGAGTGACGAACTTAGCTCCCGCAATGCCGGTAAGTTGTAAGTGCTTGCGACCAGTACGCTCACAAACATGACGGCCATGACAGGTCTGTAGAGTGAAAGGTTGCGCACGCCAAATCAATAGCTCTGTCGCCTTCCGCCATTGAGTGCCGTACATGCACATGTGGGTCTTGACGAAATGCACTCGATGGTCCTGGAGCAGGCGCTCGATTATGGTTGCTTTCCAGATTCTTGATGTAAGAGGGTTTTCAAGATATCCAGGTACTCCCATTTTCAGGCAGCGTCGAATGAGTTTGCCTGCACCATAAAGCATGCGATTTGCTTTGGACACTTTTTCTTCATCTGCAGGCCGAAGATCTGGAAACCCCATGACATACTCGTGGGCATCCCCTCTTAGGGGTTGCGGCATCCTTGATCCAGGAGGGCCACGCCGAGCACGACTCCAAGTATTACATGGTAAATCAATGCCTACCATATGGAAACTGCATAGAGCCGAGCAAAAACTGTTCCAGCGTGAGAGGCATGAAAGATCATTTGAATCCGAGTGAGCCACATCAACGACTGCAGCCTCCCCACCGCGACGTGCAAAGGCTTTTGCAATCTCAGCGGCTCCACCAAACAGGCTCAGGAATCTTTTCCCCTGAAGGCTTCCTCGGCTCTCTGCGTCAACCCGCGGGGAAGAGGGCAGGTACCATTTCGGTAGTACTCCTCGAAGTTCAAGCGAACCTTCTCGCCAAAATCGGCCCATTTTCCATGCTTGCTCACCATTTGCTGTAGCCTGCCGGGCTTGTCGTATATCCTGGCACTGGAGTCGACTGCCCACCGACCTCGCCTCTGGATGGCCAGCACTGACCTCAAACCCATTAGGTGGTCTCTGCTTGCTCCTCCGTGGCGATTCTGGTATGGGCTGATCGCGCAGTCCTCCACCTGCAAAGCCTTCACGGCCTTCCTCCAGTTCAGGAGGAACTCTTTGGCGGTGAATGTCCACATGTTTGCTGTTTCCCCATCTTGCCTGAGTCTGACACCAACATGGCTGCTGAAGATGTGGTCCAGAAAGGGCGCCCTCTTGTCGTCCAGAAGACTCACCTCGTCGTAGATCCCAGCCTTGCTTGCTTCTCCTCTTTCGAACGGGGCAATGACCAAAATGGCACGCGGGTAACCCTGAGGGTTCTTGGAACGGCTCACGAAGTCGGCAGCTTTCAGCTCTCGTCTCTCCTGGCCTCATGTAGGTGGAAAAAGTAGTCTCGTTGTTGAGCGCCATCTCCTTCTTCCCGGCCCAGATTAGGACACCAGAGATGGCTCCCTTCACGAACTCGATCATGGGAAGCCTTGTCTGAGTGGGGGCCAACCGTCGCCAACCCTTCAGGGATCTCTTGAATCTTGGTAACTTCAAGCAGCCCTCTCTCGCCGCTTCTGGTCTCCAAAACTCTAGAGCCGCCTGAAGTTTCTGGCCATAACTTGAGTCCTCGCCACTCAGGAAGAGGAAGTCCGCGTAATCGGAGAGCGCCACGTCCAGGTCTTTTTCGCCTGTCACTGGGAGCTCGTGGAACGCCACAAAATCGTAGAACATGTTCAGCTTCCTTCTCGTAGTCCCGTCTCGTGGGCTCTTTCACACTCCCCCGCTCCAGTGGTCTTTAACCCGAGACTGGCCCTCATCTTCCTGCCGTACTTCCTCTCCCGCTCCCTGGCACGCCAGCGTCGCTTTTCCTGGCTCTTGACGAGATCCTTCAGGGCCATTGGAAGCGAAGATTGCCCACGCTCCCTGATTTGCGAACGGCTCCTGCTTCGGACCGTCCTCTCCTCCACATCTAGCTGATGTGGGCTCCTGCACCTCTTGTTGGCCAGATTGACCTCTGTCTTCGTGAAGATTTCTACCCTCCTCTTTGCGGGAGGCCTTTTCCCAGGCCCTGCTGTCGCGGTCCGCGACATTGAGCTCAGAAGCCACCCATCTGACGGAAAGCCGCACCCCACTTGCCAGGCTGTGTGCCCAAATTCGGCGAAGCAAACAAAGCAAACTGAAGCTGCTGCACCTGCCCTTCATTACGGCTAACACTACCCCCATGTTGTCGTTGAGGATTAAAACCCTCTGCCCATGTTTTTTGGAATCACGAGCGACATGCTTCATGGTGGCAAGGATGCTTCGGCACTCAAGCAAATGCACTGGCTCCTTGTGTCTGAAGGGAGCCCTCCACAGCATACGCCAGTCTTCCTGACGTAGAACTTTCACGGGTACCTCCGGGAATGAGTCATCAACAGTCAAGTCGCCAAAAACCTCACCATCTACTCTAGGACGAACTGTGTCAACATCCTCAAACACATCCAGTCCCAGCAAGGCCGTCTCCCTGGGAGCGACATTTGAGCCTGGTGCGCGATAGAATCGCCAACGTTCATCTTCGGCTCCAACCGACCTGACTAGATTCCGCGAAAGCTTACGTGACATCACTGCGTACCCACTGAGACAGGCATCCGTGCAGAAGACCCGATCGCTCCACTCCGCTCTCATGTCACCGACCCCAAGCACCATCAGACACCGAAAGAGCTCAATCTCTCTCACGACTGAAGGCCACAATCTTGTCCGATGCTCATAGCATTCTTGAATGAACTGATAGACATGCCGTAGAACACTGAGCAACCCTCTGCGCAGCAAAGCCCTCATAGTCATATGACCAACGAGCACCTGCAACTCTTCGCCCGAGAAGGCCACACGTCCGCTGCACGCCAAAAGCGCCTGGTCCAGACGATGATCTCGGGAAGGGGTACTTTGGACTGTTCCGGAAAGCCCATCAATCCTGACTCCCAAACTCTCGCACATTGTAGAGCTCTCGACCAAATCATGCGTGGACAACCCGTGATCATGAAGAGCAGCTAACATGGCCTGTTGGTCATCCGAGACTTGATCCCTGTCAACCCCCAGATGATTGGAGTTGTCTGCATAAATCAGGAGAGCCTGCCTGCAACTGCCCTCCTCGAAGCCCATCACAGGAGCGGGACGCCGGTCCTGGATCAGCAAAGATTTGGGCAATGTCCGGGCGGCTAACTCAACGTGAGCCATGTGTGCCAAATGAAAAGCCCACGCAAATCCCATCGGCAAAACTGACATGTGAGGGTGGATGTCAGCCTGGCTCTCATCCACAAGGCGCGCAACTTCCTCAGGGAGGTAGCCCAGCTGCTCCTTCAACAACAAAGGGTCAATCTTCGGGAAGCAGAAGTACTCACCAAGATCCTTATCGATGCGCAAGCGGTAGAAATAATCCCGAACGTCCTCCTGCGCCATAAAGAGACCGTTCTCACCCTCAAGCTCAATCCTGGCCCAACTATCCATGGAGCCAAGACGTGTGGAGGGAGGCTTGCGAAACAGCTTGTTGGTCCTCCTAGCGTCTACAATGAGCCGCTGCTTCTGCGCCTTCTTGGTGACCACAAAGGCTCCTACCTGAACACGAGGATGGGTTGTGAAGCCGACCAACTTACTCTGGACCAAGTCGGCAATGAAGCCGTGGTACTTCTTGCCGCCCCCTTCTAGCTGTGGATCCATATATCTATCATTCTCCAAACCCTTCTCCAAAACCCCGGCAATCTCCTCATCGCTCAGCATCATCTCGGACTTGAAGTTCTGCAGTTGACGCCTTTCAACCTCCGGAAGCAAATCATCAAGTGACACTGGTGCAGTTTGATCACGGGGTAGCGAAAGTCGCTCTCTCACGTAGCTTGCAAGTTGCCCCGGCAAAACGCCCGCATAGGGCGACCCTGCCTTCTTAGCCAGCAGCTGCCTAAGCGCTGCCTGGGGAGAAATCTTCTCGGTAGGGGGCGCCCTCAAAGTGTGTGCCCGCCTCACTCGATCATGTACTGCCGCCTGAGCCCTGTTCTGTACATGCATTGGCCAAAGCGACTCATCATCAAAACCTGCCAGGTGATTGAGTGCCCAAACTGTCCCCCTGGAGCGATCCACAAGCATCCTCCTCTTGTGAACTCTCTGGCGGGACCTACGTGAGTCCAGGTCTCTCACACGCCCAGCGAACCATTGATCATCAGGCAAAGGTAAGGGAAAAACATCACCATGCCTGGCCAGCGTTTCATGGAAAACCTGATCAGTGCTTGAAAAGCTCTCGGCCTCGATGTTGGCACTGGCAGCACCGAGACCATCCCCCTCTTCAGGGGGCTTCCTGCCCTGTCTTGTTCTTAGCCTTGCCATTCCCCTTGCCGCCCTTTTCCTCCTCTTCGCCTCGCTGCCGAAGATGCTTTCGTTCCTCAGCAGCCAAACGAGTTTGCTTGAGGACCTCAGCTTTTGCCGCCTGCCTCTTGGCCGCGTGCTGGGTCAGGGCGGGGTCAACCACACTTCCATCCACAGCCTCCCTAACACCCATGATCTCCTCTGCGGCCTCGCATGTCGGGGCTTCCGGCCGCTGATGGGCAATCTCAATCAGGGAACGGCGCCGATTGAGGGCTTCCGCAGAGGCGAGCGCAGGCAAGTTGAGTTGGTCATAGGACGTCATGTAGTCCAACACACGGCAAAGAGAAGCATGTTCGAATACAGAACGATCGGCAACACGTACTCCTGACTTCTTCAGCCAGGACTCGTGATGTTGAACGAAGCTCATTCCCAGCCGCCGTAGCTGCCTCGCATCACGGTACATGGTGCGCGGTCCTTGTAGAGGAAAATCTTCAAACTCCACCTCTTCAAAGTCAGGAAGCCCCTCGCTCAAGGTTCGCCATCTTTCTTCAGCTGCATCAAAGAGGACAGGAAGTACCCTGATGTCACGTTCCCCACCAAGTTCAGCTGTAGTTTTTGGGAGAACCTCCTGACTCACCCCTGGTGCCTCCAACGCCGAACAGCCTCTCACCACCAAAACCTGACCGTCCTTGGCGAAGATCTTGTAAGCCTGCCCACCGACGCGCACCGTTGGAACCTCACTGGATGAAGAAACTTGGCTGCCTATCAGCTCTCGGTTGGAACTGTAGACCACGATCCACACCTCCATCTCGCTGTTTCCCTCATCCGGGCCTCTGACCTCCACTGGGCTCGTGGATGCAGCGGCCCTTCCTGAACCAACGGGAAGCTGTTCAGCATGGCTCTTCCTCCTGAGTCTCTGTCGGGGGACTATGCTGAACAATTTTCGGGATGTCCCATCTGGAAAGACTACATCTTCGTCTCCTTCAAGGGGCGATCCGTAAGTGGCCTCATGCTCCCGCCAAGCTTCAACGATCTTGGACTCCAAGAATGCTACCGTGATCTCGTCCCTGAACTTGTACACCGGCTTCGTGTAACGAGTGCGCACCCCATAAGGAACTACTCTCACCTTCTGCGGGCCATCTTCTGCTTCACCACCTAGGTTCTCCTCATAGAGATCCATGTCTGGGGTCAAAATCCAATACATGTCATGTCCCCGCCCACGCAGAAGCACCAAACGCTCATGCCAGACAGAATCATCGGAATACCACACCCTGAGCAAACTACCGAGTTCCATTCTCTAAGACCCCCAAACCTCGGCGTCTGTGATTGACCCTGGTAGCTGGCTCAGAGGAAGCAACGGCCTGCGTTCTGCTGATCCACCAACGATGGATAAGCCACGTGCACAACAGGTGGCTACACAACAGTGCTGGTGCCAGAAGATACCCCCAGAGGCGCCTCGAAGTCTCGTCCTCCTTAAGAGGTGATTCCTCCGGGTACTCAATGGAGCAGCTGCACTGGCAATCGCAGGGCGGGCAGCTGCAGATGGGCAACACAGGACGCGATGGCTCAAGGTTCTTGCTTAGCAAGAGGGTAAGGGCTACAAGTAGCTTCTCCCACATGAATCTAGAGCAGAGAGAGCTTCAGATGAACATACAGAATGAGCAAGCCCAGCAATGACGCACTTCGTGCAAACATCAGCAACAGCGTGGACGACGACCGCGACAATGGTGGCGACGACGATGACCACTACCGGAACCGCGACCGTAACGCCGACGCGGACGACAACAACGACGACGGCGCGCTGCACCCACGCCGTGGGAAATTGAAATTGCGTTGTGCGGCATATGCCGTGTCGCAGCAAACGAGAAACCATGCAAAGAATAGATCACGAAAAACGAGCTCCAGAAGGCAGCAAATCTGAGTAAGAAGTGGAGATGTTTGAGCTGGGCGATTGCACGGGTGAACGACCATCAGATCAGCCTCAATCAAATCCTCAGCTGGAAGTCCTATCCCAAGAACCATCAGGGGGATCACAATAGCACAGTAGTGACTCCTCCATCTTTGGTGGTATCTGTCTAAGACTGTGCGCCTGAAACTCATAATGTCTGCTAGCCCAGTAGCCCGACAAAGCAATTGTGAAACTCTGCAGAATTGCTCAATGTGACTACTTTTCCCTTAGCCTTGTCTAGTCCTCCAGCAACCAGCCCATGGAATATGAACAGACCGCCCCGTGCTGTTGGAACCCAATTCAACAGTTCTGCTGTGACTTTCTTGACTTCCAGGTGCATCTACACCCGGAGCTTTGCTGGGGGGCGCCATTTTGAAGGCCTACATGCGCCGCAAAAAAGAGATGTAATGGGAATCCCTTCTTCCATTCCTGACTGAACTGCTCGAGGCTTTTGGATTATTTTAAATGCCGCTGTGCATTCTTTGTGATACAGCTGAATATGCAGGGGGTACAGACCAGATAACTACCCAGAACCCCTCCAAATATTCCTACACTTCCCTAGTTACCGATACCTGATCCTTATACACCCAACTACATAGCCCCCACCCCCGTAAGGAGACATTCCCCCCCCCCCGCCTAACCCAGCAAAGGTGCTTCCAGTGGAGCTGGAGGGGCCTTTTGGGAAAGGCTCTGAGAGCAGCTACCGGATCGTTTGGCAGTCATGCATTTCGGGGGGTTGGGGCCCAGGATTGAGGGTCCAAAGGTTTTGGGAAAAATTACAGGTCAGAGGCGTGAGGGTTTCAAATTTGAGCTTAAGGTGAAGGTTTAGCCTGACAATTGATGGGAATACTCTAATACGAAAAAGCAGTTCTGCAGCGATGCGCCGGAATACCCAGGGTGTAGGGATTGTTGAGGGGTGGTGGTTGGGGAGTCTAGGCTTGAAGGTGAGTTCAAGGGTTGTGCAGAGTAGCAGGAAACTGTGTGATTCTCCAGCGCTCTGGTTGGTCCTGAAATGCTGTCTACACTTCAGTGCTTTTGAGATTCCAAGGCAAGAGCGCCTGTGAGGAATCAGGCATCAGGCCCGTGGGCAGGACTGGTCGATCCTTGCAGGCTCCACTATGAAGGATTTGTGAGCCTCTATGTACTTTGCACGGCATATCTCTATTCAGAACAACACCCCTCAGCGCATGCATGCCCCCAACAAGACCTGTCATGATGGGAAAACACTGAGATCGGCCAGGGCACTGCGGGCTTCCAAACGTCAAGGCCTTTGCCTCTGAAAAACTGCGAAATCGCGAAAAGCTCACCCCCAAAAGCTTGCAACAATTGCGGAAACCTCATCTTCGAACCTCAAACCCTACCCCCAAACAATACCGACTGCCGCAAGCACGGCCTTGCATGGGTTGCACCTGCTTGGGTGGAGATCGCCTGGGCAACCCGGACCCTGAAAGAATAACTGTTTTCACTAATAGGTACGCATCACAAAGCACGTCTGTTGTCTTCCTTAGATCATGGGGTTGTAGGTTAATATGACTGCAAACCGATGACTTACGGAATGAGCAAGGGCTGTTCAAGAGGGGCAGTTTGCTTTTTGAGCTTGAGGCAACCTTGGTGATAACCGGAAGCGGCCAGCCCAGGACCCTAACATCGAACATTCACCAGAAAGTATCATCATAGCAGCTTGGAACTGTTCATGGCTAGTGGCAGAGTGGGTGCTTGACAACAGAGAGCAGCAAGTACTAAGAGCATCTCCGATCGTTTGCAAGCTAAGGATCCTGTGATACTTGATGCTTCAAAGCAGCAAGAGTCAGCTTGAATCTTGCAGGTTTTGGGGCCTTAAAGTACAAACCATGTGTTTTCCTTCACGCTGGCAGGGGCACGATTTATGATTTCGTGCTGAAGTGTTGTGCTGAAGTTTGCATCTTCTGGTGTCATTACTTGGATTTAGTGATCACAGCTTGCTTGTTGCACACATTCTTGCGTTGCCATACGATTCTCACAACACGCAGCACCAGCAGAACCACCACACAAAACCTGGAGTCTTCGAGAACCCAACACCAAAATGGCTCAGGCCTCGAGCAGACGGAGTGGTTGACTTGAATTTTAAATGAAAAGTCAAGCTTCGCGAAAGCTACAGACCCTCTCCTGTTTCTTACCTCTGCTGTTTCTTAAAGTGCAACATGGATTGTTCGATTGGCCAAGCCGAAGCTCAAACCATGAATGCAGAAGCCCTCCAACTCTCAATGGGAATTTGCTGCGTAAACCCAAGGCTGACGGGAGCTACAAGCAAGTCACGTGGGCTCCCATCCTCCGCACCCTTGAGGCCTTCGGGATTGCATTAAATCAGCCTCTTCTTCCTGTTCATGAAGCATCTCTACAGAGTCCCTAAATGGGATTTCGGGAGCGTGGGAGAATGGGGGAAGCCTGGTTTTATCGCTGGGGAAGGGTCACTGACCAGTTAGGGTCTGTAAGTCGCTGAATATGTCGCGCAGAAAACCAAGTGCCCCGGGAGGCAAAGGAAGATATGCCCGAGTTCTGGGCATTCTCAGGACAGGGCCCTCCAAAACAGAACACTCTCTTGTGGGAAAGTCAACCCAAACCTGACTCCTGAAAGTCGCGGAACCGGAAACTGTGAGAAACAAGGCACCTTGGCTTTGGAGGCAGGGCGGGCGCTGCAACAGCCTGCACCCAACTGACTGTTCATGGCATAGGGTATCATATGAGGGATGGTGTGGTAATCTGGAGAATTTCCCAAAAGGCGACAGTCTGGCTTTGCAGAACATCCCCGGAAAAGTGGGGTCCTGCCCACAACGATCTGAACACGATGGAACTTCGAAAGTCCCGATCCGATCCTACGGGAGCATGATAGCTTCTTACAGTCTGGCATACCCTAAACGCCTAAACTATCTATCCTAAACCCTTACCCTGGATGACATGCTAGAGAGTCACCGCTCTCCTGCCTGCGTTGGGCTTCGCTTCGGGACTCTTCCTTCTGGAGGGTTGCCGTTGGGGACGTTCGACGGCTTGAGGGTAGGGCGCATGTCGAGGATTCAACGCTCGGGATTTAAGGCTTTTAGGATATGGGGCTTCTGACGCTGGGAGGGTGGCTTCGGCTCCAGAGGCTACAGTATGAGGTGTTCTGCTATGGGCTAGGCTATAACCTACAATCACACCACTTCCAAGCCCTAGCTATACAGCATGGACAAACGAGATCATGATTCCTCTTAGTAGCTTGGCACTAGACCACTTCGAATGATGAACGCTGAAAACATGCTCCGTCTGCCGCAGCATGTATGCTGCGGTGGGAGGAACATCTCTTGTAGACATGTGGCCTTATCTGCTGCAGGGTTCTAGTGTCGGGAAAATCGGTTTGGGCCTCGGACCTACTTTGCGAGATGTCTCTCGCGCAGCTTGTAGGTTCACTGTCAGGTAGAGATGGAGCTTTAAGTTTTCCTTTTGGTGCGCGGGCAGCCCTCCGACGACAACCTCCAGAGTACTTGGAACAAAGCGGGCTCTAGCAGCGGCGCCTGCTGATTCTTGCGGCACCCTGTAGGGTTCACAGTTCAAAGCCCTGAGGCCTTGAATCCACTACTTCTAGATACTCCCATGCCTAGGGTTCAAGGATTTTGTTTCTATTTCTACACCCCTTACCTTCTTTGTCTGTGATCCCGTGATCTTCCCGGCAATCCTAGAACTATCCCGCAATCCCCGCTGCGAGCCCAGAAATTCAATTTCAGATCTCTAAAGGACTTTCTCCAATCGCGGAATCACCTTCCTTTCAACCTACTCGTAAATCCCTAAATCGAAAAATCCAAACCCATCTGCAACGCCAACTTCTGAGAACCCGAAAATCTAAGCCCTACATCCCAAACCCAGAAAACCTAAACCCAAGACCCGAAACACTGAATCCTAAGAAACTCACTGGACCCAGCTCCAGTCCAGTGGTGCTTTCTTGGACGCTGGGCTTTTGATCCGGCACTGGGATGACCTGGCTTGTAGGGTGTAGGGGTTGGGGCTTGGGGCGTCTAAGGAGGGCTGAAGGATCTTGATTGTGAGCTTCCGGTCGGGGGTGTTGGGTTTTGCTTGCTTGGGCTCTTAGGCTTTGGGTGTCAGACGTTTAGGCTTAGAATTTACGACAAGCCCCTCCTGCTTGGAGACGCATGGGTGGTGACAAGTGATTCTTTCAGAGCACAGTTCAGAGCACCATTTCGAATTCTGGACGTTTCAGGTCC